TTTCTTTTCGTGGGACGGGACTGCTGTCCAGCGCTCCTACACCGCCCTTGAACTAGCACTGTGTTGTGAGGACTTGCATTTTAATTGCATCATGCAGGGGCGGAAAAAGACTTTCCCTTCTAAGCTTCTAGGCTCTTGGCAGAGTCCTCCTTCCCAGCTGTCACGAAAGATAGATTAGCAGGAGAAAATGGACAGAGGTTTGCTAACATGCATATCTGTATGTGGGGGAGAAATGCGACAACTGAACAGCTTCCCAGCGAGGCCAAGTCCCCGCCTGAAGCCCCGCGTCCAGCCAGAGGCAGCCGTCTCCACTGCCGAGTCTCTAGACCCTGCAGATAAGTCAGTGGTAGGCGCTCGTCACCCTTGCTTGCCAAGGGAGACAGTGCGGCTCCGGTGGGTGAAGGAGCTAGACGGGCCTGGCTCACGAACATGCACATCCCGGCTTCACGTCCCTGCCTGGATTCCCGCTGGAGTCCCTCCACCCTGAGGAGGCTTAGTGAGCACCGCAAGGTGGAGCTCGGGGGAGCCGACGCTCCGGAGGGGGCACCCAGGCCCTGCCCCCAGGGAAAGGTGCGTTCTCTCCTCTCTGAGTCTTGTTGGATTGGTGGATATCAGACCTCATTCCAGCAGGATTAACTGTCAGTTGTTCAGAGCCATTCACCGAGTTAGGGGTGATGGTAGCGGAGGGAGCCCCAGGGTTCGTTGCAAGGTCTTTGTGGGAGCACTAAGTGATCTTCAGGAGATCAGCTACTGGTGGTGTTTTCTTTACATTTTTTTTTAAAGATCAATTTATTTATGCACACAGAACTGGCGCACAGGCCAGAGGTGCAGGGGCAGCGAGAGGCTTCCCCAGAGCCAGAGCGGCAGCAGAACAGGCAGACTGGCAAGCACACTGCTGAGGGGAGCAGCGGGCGGTCAGGAGAGGTCTGCCGCGCCATGTGGGTCACCTCCGGGGTGGGGATCGAACTCGTGCTGAAGTGGCTTTAGCTTCCTACTGCTGTGCTTCAACCCGCTGCACCACCAAGGAGGGCCCTTTTTACATTTCTAACCCACAGCAGCGATGTCTGGGGACTTGGTTTATTAGGAAAAATTTGGTGGCTCACACCCCGCCTCCTCATAGCACCTGCAGACAAGGCCCAGGAAATCTGGCTTTGCCATCCTCAGAGCTTCTGTGGGGGCCTTGGCCAGGGCTGCCTGAACAGCCAGCTCTCTTGGGGAATGGGCTTCCCAACCCCTGGGGACCTGCCTGCTTTCCTGTGTGACCCAGTGTGTCATCGGCCTGAGAAATACAGGACAGAGCCGGCGGCCATGAACGGCGGCCACAGGAGAATAGGACCTGGGTGACTGCAGCCTCTCCATTTGCCATCAGATCCTGTCTGGTCTCCCAAACACACTGCTGAGGGGCCTCGCCCGTCCGGCTGGGGCTCACCCTGGCGCTCAGATGACTTGCAAAGGGATGAACCAAGAGTCTCCCAGCCGGCAATTCCCACAGAGCCTGGACATGCAGGCGCCGCCGATGAGGTGGCCACTGCCCGGAGCCAGTGCGCTGCGAGCTGTCCGTGCCGTCGCTTGTCACCCCGTTTACGTTTATCTTAGAACTTCCACTCGGGCTCTGCCATAGCTGCAAAGATCTCAGGACTAGTTGGTCCATGTGTGCAGGGTGCGGGGCTGGGCTCTGGCAGCCTGCTGAGAGAGTGGGTGGCCTTGGGGGCTGGTGGCTGCCCCTCAGCCCAGCTGCCTCCAGGGCAGGTGTGGAGAGGGGACTGCTCCCCTGCGCTGGCAGAGGGGAGACTCAAGTCTCCCTTCTTGGGGCTCGTTCTGGGCTCCCCGGCAGGGGCCTTCTTGCTGCTTCTGTCCTGGGCTTGAGACCCACCATTTGGAGGACCCCCTGTCCTCTCAGTGGCTGGACGTCCACCCCCTCCTTGCTCACAGCTCCTCATGCTCATGCCGGGTGGTGGCTGCATTGTTGAGGGGACCACAGGGAGCCACAGGGCAGCCTCCAAAAATTAGGTCCTCGTCCTGACCTTCGTACCCCGCACAGGTGACCTCATTTGGAAAAAGGGTCTGCAGATCTCCCAAGGGTCACCCTGATTTCTTGAGGCTGGAGTCAGTGAGGAGCATCCACGGAAGAAACAGGCGGTGGGGGCCTGAGTGTCGACCCACGGAGGGGGGAGGTGGAGGCAGAGGCGGGAGCGACGCAGCCTCAGGCTCAGGGGCCAGCAGGGGCTGGAGAGGCAGGTGGACCCTCCCGGCACCTCCCGGGGGAGCTCGGGCCTGGGCAGGGCCTGCTGCCTGTGGACACAGGGCAGGAAACACGCCGGTGGCCTTCAGTCATCACGTTAGTGGCAGATGCTCAGGACGCCGAGACAGGACGTGGATCATGGGTGTTTTCTGAATATATTTTTCTTGCAAGTTTTCAGAGAAGGGGCGTGCGGCGGAGGCCGGCCTTGGTGTCCATGAGCGCTTGCTCCCCTCGAGGGGATCGTCGGCCCATTTCCTTTTTTGTTTTTCCACTTCTTGTTTGACTTCCGGCCCCTCAACTTCATCTTCTGTCCTTTCCTCCCCGTCCTCCCACGACGTCCAGTCCATCTTCGTTTGTCCACTCTGCGTCATCTCTAAATAATGTGTTAGGCACACAGGTGACCCGACCTAATGATTGGTGGGCATTGGTACATACACGCATGCTACAAAATGATTAATTGAGCGTTGTGTGTTTTTATCAAAGGAAACAATGCAGATTTCTCCAAAGTCCTGTTTGACTAAAGATGATTAATTTTAATTTTCACACGAGCGGCATAATGCTATTAATCATTTAATATGTTTAATCATAATCTCTGTAATTCCTAATTAAGTTTATTAAATGGAAACATCCAGCAGTTATGCACAAATCCAACTCTAAGTCTCCTTCTTGGGATGAGAAGGAGTTGGCTTTAATTTGCATTGGAGAAGCAACTTCTAACACAAGGGGGAACATGGGCTGGAAACTCGGGGTGCAGAATGCTGCTTCTGCCACTTAGCACCGCGTGAGCAGGCTGGGCCCCCAACCCCTCTGAAGGTTCAAGGCCATCTCACCCACGGACATGGAGCAGACCTCTTGTTAAGAGCACAGAAACACCGTTCCTGCTCCAGAAGGTCCCAGGGTTACGTTCTTGTCCTTTGACCATTACTTGAACCCCACATCTGTGACGCATCATCCACGCCCCCCCTCCTACGTCCTTTCCTCCAGGATCCTCTGCCCACACCCCGCGAGATCTGCACGGGCCTGTGTCCTCTGTCCGCAGGACTCAGCCTCTCTGGTACCCCTGCGCTGACCCTCCGAGTGTCCTCTGAGCCGTCAGGATGGAACATCCACTCCTGCTTTGCACACTTGACCTTCCTGAGTGACCCTGTCTGCAGCCTGACCCCGCGCTCCTCCTAGGGCCACTAAGGTCCACACACACTCAGAATCCAGAACGTTCTATCACCCCTCTGCCTTGCTTTCCCCTCCTCTGCACTGGCCCTGCCCTGCTCTTAGTTTAGACAGCTCCCTCAGGACTGGCCAGCCTGCAGCACGTCCAGCTGCCGGTCCTGCAGCCCAGCCAGCCGACCCCTGGCTGCTGCTCAGCCAGCCTCCGACCCAGGCTGGTCCCAGCACCAAACAGTTGGTGCTGTTGCTTTCCAAGTGCCGCTAGGCTGGGGGCGTGTGTGGTGTGGAGGCCTGATATGTGGTGGCCTCACATTTGAAAGCCTGAGAGGTCAGCCTGATGCCAAGCCAGCTCGGGAGAGCAGCACGGCCGGGGGGTGCTAGGAAGAAGAATGCCAGCAGAATCCGACAATGACTACTGGCTGCAAGAAAGTCGCTAATTATATATATTTCACTTTGTGAGATTGTCTGTTTCTCTGTCTTTATTATTTTACACCCGGCTGCCTGGCTTGATAGCTTTGTCCCAGTTATATGTTTCTGAATTGCTTACAAATGGGTGAAAACAGTTCCTGGCTGGTACAGGGGACAGCGCGGACCTCTTGGTGGTGGGGAGCGGCCGCCGGCTGGAGGGGGCCCCACCTGCAGGCAGTGCATGCTAATTGCAGAGAAAGTGTTTGGAAATGAGAATCCCGAAATGTTGGACCGTCGACCTGGGAGTGTGGCCATTGGCGAGTGGTGATAGTGATACCAAAGGGTGCTGTGACTTTGCTTCTAGTTCCTTCCCCTATGTGGGTTTCAGCAGGTTCTCCAGAATTTTATGGGGGGTAGAGGCTGGTTGTATGCCAACACAATCCAGTAGAAGTTGACCTGGACAGAGACAGAGATGTTTCTCTCTCTGCATTGTCCTATACAGAAGCCACTGGCCGCATGAGGCTGTGAGCCCGTTTGGCTAGTGTGAACAAAGAACTGGATTTTACACTGCATTTCACTTGAATTTCAACAGCCACGTGTGTTCAGCTCAACAGTACAGGTCTGTGCAATCCAAAAACAGTTAAAACCTTGGAAAAATGTCAATCAGATGGTGACTTGCACTGCAGAATACCAGATAACTGTCCCCAGTATATTAATATATGTGCTAACAACTTACATACAAAGCCACGGCAGTCAAGTAGGGCTGCGTTAAGGTTTCAGACGGCCTTGACTAAGGGGCCCACGGTTCCATCCATTTCATCAGTGGCATCCCTGGCCAGCGAGACGCCTTCTGGCTGCCTGTTAGAACTTCCCCTGCCCCCTCCACTCCAGCTCGCTCCTCCCTTTGCTCTGTGATCTCTGTGGTACCGTCCACTTCTGTCAGCTCTGCGTTTTGGGGGGGCTTCTTGCTGTCAAACCCCCCTCGAGGATTACGCTGCACAGGACGAGGCCTTGTGCCTGCTTGGCTCACTGCTAAACCCCAGCGCCGTGATGGCTACCTGAGTGAGTGACCCGGCAGGCCTTCCTGGTCCTCCTTCCTTCGTTCCTGCCTCTTGGGGAAGCAAATGCATATTGGACAGAGCCTCAGCGTCCACTCAGTGTCTTTGCTTTGCTCTTGCTCTTTTAGCAGACAGATGACGCAGCACCGACGGATGGCCAGCCCCAGACACAGCCTTCTGAAAACACGGAAAATAAGTCCCAGCCCAAGCGGCTGCACGTCTCCAATATCCCATTCAGGTTCCGGGATCCGGACCTCCGACAAATGTTTGGCGTAAGTACAGCCTCTGCCCTCGGCAGTGCCCACTCTGGGGCCCCCAGAGTCCTTCCTTCTCTCCTCGTGTAAGCTGTTAGAACTAGGAACACCAAGATGAGCTGTTTGCATAAAGGCACACGGCATTTTAAATCCTAGCCCGTGGGCTTGTTCTGGCTTGGAGTCCCTTTATGATTTTGGTGTAAATTTTCATGCATGTTTCCACTTTGCCAAGTGGTCTTCTGGCTAGAAACTTGAATGTGAAATGGAAGAGAAACTGCCAGTGGAATAGAGCCCAGGGGTGACCCCAGCTGCCATGGCCCTGCAGAGGTGGATGGTATGGACTCTGTCCGGTCTCCATTGTGGGTTGACTCTGTCCGGTCTCCATTGTGGTCCGCCAGACCCTGGCACTGACCAGTGCCGCCTCTTCCAGGTCTTGTGCTTTCCCAGGCACTCTGCAGGTAGGGATCAGAGGCACTTGTAGCGAATAACTAGTTCTGGAGGCAGCTTCATTAAGCAAAACAGAACAAGAACCCTACAGATCTCTCAGTCTGCCTTGCATCCTGCCCTAGACGCCAACCCGAACCCGTGGTGATATCGATGCCGCAGTGACAGCGACTCAGCACCGTTCAGTGCAGACAGGGCCCAGCCCAGAGAGGGAAATGGCGGGGAGCTGGCTTCATGGACCATCAGGCTCCTGCTCTCTTTCTGGATGATACTGGCGCCGTACCCGTGGGGAGGGATGAGCTTGCCATGCTTTGGGCTCTGCTCCACCACAGGACAGAGCTGGATGAGGCTTGATATCATTCCTTTTGGCAAATGCATTCAGCCCATTTGCCAGTGACCTCCCAGCACTGAAGGGAAGTAGCTACAGAACAAGAAATGATGAAAAGCACTACATCCTTAACATTTGACGTAGAGTCAAGGTTGGCTGCCAGGAGGTTCTTCTTCCAAGAGTTTGTCGACAGATGCAAATATTACAAAAGGAACCAGCAGAGATCCAACTTTAATGTCTAGTTCTGGGCCAAGTCAAGCTCCCCTTGATGAGCCGGGGACAAGGTGGGGAGCCGTGGGGGGTAGCATTGGGTCATTGTTCCTTGATTGTGCAATGAGCCACCTTTTATTTCTTTCACATGCATGATGTTTATCAAGTATGCAGCTGACATGAAGGCAGAACAAAGCATCCTAATATTTAAGATACTCACACTTGAATGCTGACATTTCCGAAGAAAAGGTCAACATCTGCACTTTTATCTCTCTCATTTGGTAATAACCTTGAGCTGAGCCCTCTCTCACTCTTGCAGAGCAGAGATACCCTCGGGCACTTTTAGGTCAGAGATGCCTTTGAAAAGTGCAGAGCATTCAAAGTTAGAGTCGAGGTTAAGTGTGTGGAAAGCACTGAGACCAGGTTTGAGTGATGGGGAACCGGAGGGACTGGATTCCTTTGGCCATAGCCGGTTACACAGACGTCTTGCTCCTCGGTCTGTCTGGACTTATCAAGTGTCACTGGGAGCTCGGCTTTGAATCTGGTTCTCTTAATGACCACAGTGTCGCTCATTACAGTGGACCCCGACTCCCTCCTGGGAGGACGCTCTGCCCTGCCGGTTGTCTTGGTTACCTGGAAGGAAGGGAGGGCTCCCCACTAAGTCAGGCAGGCTGGCCATGTGCTCACAGCTCACTCTCCAAGAGCACCCTGCCTGCATCGCTCCTGGACCTCGTGATTCTTATAGAGGGGACTCAGAGAACAATCGTGCCAAAGATCACACTCCCAGTGGTCAGGACTTAATCAAAATCTGCTGGTTTCAGAGCCACTTCCTGTAAAAGTCAAAATTTCCAAGCAGCTGACAAGATGTCGATTTGACAAGATGATGGATGCACTTAGTACCTCTCAATTAGGGAAATGCAGCAGGCACTCAGGACCAACAGCAGCTGCGCCCACTCTCACAAGGATGCAAGATTTGTTCCTGGGTGTTGCCCTTAAAGGGCCTGGCACAGGTGAATTCCTGCACCCTGCAATAACTCAGAGGCCGCCTCGGTTTCCCACCACCACTGAGGAGACAGGGTCGGATCACAGAGAAGCTGCCCTTCCTGGTCACACACCGCAGCAGCCACAAACCCGTTCTGAGGAGCTTTTAGTGGCGCGAATCCCGCTGAAGGCGTCAGGTCCATACGTGATGGGCCCCTACACGCCAGTGGAGGGAGGGAGTCGGGGTGGCTGCCCTTCGGGGTCATCGTTGCTGTGCGAAGTGGCACTGCAATGCCACTGGGTACTTCTTGCATCGCTTGCACCCGAGAGACCTTCTCTCTTCCTGTGTAATATGTCACTGTCCTTCAAGGAGGGCCAATGCAGAGAAGACCCTCCAAGACCCGTGTGGCTTTGTCTCCCACCCCCGACAAAACAAGGCAGAATGCCTCCTTTCTCAAGTGCTACTGCCCAGCAGTGTTCACACCGAGCCTGTGACCTGCAAACCCCCAGCCGTGAGGCCCACACACCCCCGGCAGCCCAGCGGGCCCCACCCCGCCCCACTCTCTGCTTTTACCTGTAGCTCCAGCAGCCTGTTCTCTCTCCACCAGGCACTTCAGTCTTCCCCTCCTCCCACTTTCAAGTATTACTTCCAGACTTCGGTACAAACTCACCTAGGTCATCTTAGATTTCCTTTTCTTTCTTTGTCTTTCTTTTAAAACGAACCTCCCTTGGTCTAAAGTTATGAGGTCACCTTGCCCAAGCAGAAGCTGGCGTCTTTAAAACCCCAGTGGGGTGTGAGAAGGTGGGTCTGTCCTACGACGAAGGGTTTTGTTTCTGCAGGGTTCAGGAGAGGGAGGTGGCTCTGGGCCACCTTCTTCTCGTCGGAGCTGGGGGTGTCGAGCCGGGCACATCTGCTCCCTGTACTCTCCACATCTCGATGGGCCCGTGAAAGGGATGCTGGCTGCATACTTGGTTAGGAGGCCTCCTGAGCCTGATATTTAAAGCTGGGCTCTCTGGACTTGGGGGAACACATCCAGGCCACCAAGCAATAGACTACATTGTAGAATCGTTTCTGGAAATATCTGTTCCAGGAGCACACTTTCAGATTTGGCTCACTCTTGTTGATGGCACAGCCTCACTTCGGTCATCAATGCGCAGGCCCCCTGGCCATGAGCTGGACCCTCTACCAAAGTCTACTTATTGTCACCAAAAAAGCAAATCAGGTGACTTTCAGAACATGGGAAAGCAGGCTTCATGAGTGACCTTTTGGCAATAAATTCGAGTAAGATGCCATCAATGTCAAGGCTGAAGTCCTGCGGACTGTGATCTTATGAAGGCACCTGGTGGAGGCCTCCTGTTTCTGCACCCAGAAAACTGAGACCATGCCTGGCCACGGCCCCAGCCCAGTCCTGAGCCAACCTGACTTCCGTGCCTCCTGCTGTAGCCACTGAACATCTTTTCACAGTTTTTCAGAGAAACATTATCTGATCTGAAGGTGTTGAAGAACACCTGGCACTTGCTTGCTCAGGTGCACGCCCCTCAGCTCCCAGACCCTGTTCCTGACACAGTGACAGGGACACCTCGCGGCTTCTGAGGTATTGGAAGCCCTGAACGTCGGTGTTGAGCAAACAAACGCGAGAAGTCTGCGAATGAGTCGTGTCTATTTAAATTGAAAATGTGCCAGCTGTGTTTACATCATTAGTACCCAACTTCCCAATTAAACTGTTGATACTATAAATATAGTACACAACTGTCTTCAAAATGGGCTACGTCAGCATTCTTCTTACGGCTGTTTGCACAGGCTGGAGAACGTCAACCCCCCGGCAGCCCCCAAAGGCCAACATTTGCGACCACATCAGGGCAGATGGTGACATCGTTTCTTTTTAGGGAAGGACTCAGGCTAAGATGGTTTATTTGGGGGTTCTCTCCCAGCAGATCTCATTTTAAGGCGCGTGTGTTTGCGTTGACACTTTTGACAAGGTTCCGCCAGGAACACTGTCTTTGTGGTTTTGGAAGAAGTTCTTTGAGAGTTTCTCTCATCATGAATAGGTGCTTCCAGACCCTCATCCCTGAATAAATAGGGTGGCCTCTGCATCGGCTGAATATTCTAAGGAAGCCACGCAGCAGGGACTGCTTCTGAGAGGCTCATGAAGCCGAGGGCTTCCCACCTGCCCCCCACCCACCCCTCAGCCTGCAGTGAAAGCCAATTCATCTTGAATGGCAAATCCTTCATTTCCCAAATCTGTATGGCTTCTTCTACTACTGCTAGTGATTTTCTGGGCACCTGAGATGATCTGTAGAAAAATATTCTCATGACCCAGAGAATGCTGGAGGGCCCCCATTGCAGGGTAAGCAGGCGAAGGCCTCGCTGCGTCGGCGGCTGGTGGAACCCTCTCGACCTGCTGTCTCATCTGCTGGCAGAGCTGTCTCTTCCTGACTCCTTCAACCCTTCACCTTCTCTGTAAAGGAGACACTTCTGCTCACCAGGAAAAAGCGAAGCCTGCCACCCCCTGGCAGAGGACATTCCTGAGAGGGCACATTTCTATAGCACGGGGGGGATGGCAGCTGCAGATCTGTCTCCTAGCAGGATCTTCCTCACCCTGAGAGTTTCCAGCTCTGAGATGTGACTGAAGAAGGCAGGCTTCCTCCCATCTAGACTCACTTGTAAGTTCCAGAAGATGGCCTGTGGTTCCAGATACTTCTTTTTCTTAGATGTTAGGAGAACCCTCCGGGATGGCCTGTTGGAGGCCCTGAGGTCAGGCGAGTGTCCCCGACTCCGTGTTCCATCCATTCCTTTTCGGTTGAGCCCCCCTCCCAGTCTCTGTCTTCTGCTGCATAGAGTGCTTGATGCTTCTCACCCAGGGGAGAGAGACAGAGTACAGCATCTCCTAGGGTAATAAAGGATGCAATAAAAATGCAGGCTGCAAAGGCTTAAAAAAAAGGAAAAAGGGGATGGAAATATGACTTTGTTTGTTCTTTTTATTTTTTTTTTTAATCACCCAAACGAGCATTGGCTCTTATTCCACATCAGGGTAAGATTTCCAGCCTATTTTTCCTAGACCACGTCACTTGCTTCTGCCACCCCCTCCCACTTGCAATTCAGTAGAACAGACCACATTCAATCCGTGCCCTCTGCTTCCTGTGATCTAAGAAAGTGGACCGATTCCAACACCAGAGAAAAGGATTTGGGATTATCAAATGCTCCTGCTTTGGAGGACATCTGATAACACCCCCCCTTTTTTTGCAAGTGTGAATCAAGCATTACTTGAGGTTCACTTCTCATCCGAGCTAGTTTAGCAAATTTGAAAAAAAGATAAGACACAGTAGCTGAATTTGAATTGTAGGTAACAAATATTTAATGAATAAAATCTGTTTCAAGTACTACACGAGGCAGAGGAACCCCTGGACTTTCTCCCTCCGGGGCACCTGTACGTCACCTGGCGGCCAGTTGCACTCTCAGACCTCCCTTCTAGAGTCTATGGAGCTGCCTTCACTTTCCTTCCTCATCTGTTTATGCTAATTGCTGGAAGTCTCTGTGTTTGCTTAACAGTGTGGAGACCCTTCCAGAGCAGCACATCTCAGCCTGAGGACAAGCTCAGCTGTGCTGCTGCCTTTTGAGTGATGGGCTCTCGGTGGGGAACCTCGCTTTTCTACCTTTGCGTTTTATTCTCCTCTGTGGCCTGGCTCCCGGCTTTGGTGGCATGGGAGCCAAAGTCCTCACCCTCGTACTCTAGCTGAACCTTCGGCCATCAACATCCCACTTCACCCATGGCCGCTGTGGTAGCCAGTGAGGGTGAGTGTCCACACCAGTCACTTACGACCTTTGCAGCTCAGTGCCTGGGAAAGCAGCCACACCCAGGAAGCAAAGGAGCCCAGAACCAACCTCTCCATGCCATACCCTGCACAGGCCTGACAATGATACCTCACCCATAACCTGGAGATGATCTCGGCCTTTGTAGTGGTAGAATCCCCTAGAATGTCCATCCTTGATTTTAGAAGCGAAAAAAAACTTCTGACTCGGGGGAGATGCCCAAATTGCACGATGTGATTTGCTCCGTTTCTCTGCCTGCTCAAACCATCTTTCTGTTTCTTTGCAGCAATTTGGTAAAATCTTAGATGTTGAAATTATTTTTAATGAGCGAGGCTCAAAGGTAAGCACTTCTTTCATTCTAGAGCCGTTAGCTTGCTATAAAGCTCTTGTGTTGTGCATAACGGGGAAACAACTGCACTGAGGGGTCACCCCCAGGGACGAGACACCTGCGTATGGACCTCAGTGTCCCACGCGCTGGGGAGTCCATGGGGTCCTCTTAGAATGGAGAAGGGGGTCATTTGAAACAGCCGTTTCCTATCTATAGTAGATCAAGTTTCCCGAGGAAAATTACCCATGCTTAAAAAATAATGTTGTTGCTACATTTTTGTTTTTCAGTGATAATTATGTTCTTTATGTTAAAAAGTGAGTTGATAGTCTCACAAGCAGGTAAATATGTGATCATTCTGTGTTAATAAAGTGCAGTTCTTTTCCTGGGTTGTAGGGTTGTAGGGGAGATGTGGCATATACACCAACCTTTTGAGGATCATTTCCTTCATAAGAGTGTTAACCAATGCACTTTTTTTTTTTGCAATTTGCCATGGCTTTGAGGTTATTGTGCCTCTCCCGCCCCCCACCCAGCTCCCAGAAAACCCCCCACTTGGAAGTAGTAGTTTGCTAGAGCTAACGGCATTAGTAAAAACCAGGACTGGTAGGGACAGATCCAGCATTTTCAAAATGGAAATAGGTTGGCAGAGAAAAAAGTTAAAAATCAAAAAAACTTTTCCCAAACATCCTCCAGTGTGGCCCAGGCCCCAGTCTCAGCTCTTCCGGGATCCCTGATGTACAACTTGTGGGGTCCAGTCCTGTGTTTTAAGGAAACTTCCTGGCCTGTCCTCACATCCGGGAACATGGTACCTGCTGTTTCAGACAAAGGCCGAGGCTGCCTCTGAATGTGAGATGCCCCGTGGTGGGCCCCTCCCATGAGTGGGCTAAGTGTGCCCCCTCCTGCCTGCACACACAGAAAACCCGGCCCCCGGAATCCTCCTTGAGGGCAATGCGTGGCCTTGCTGCAGACATCGCGTGGACACAGTGATGACTGAAGGGTGGGGCTGGGCCTCCATGCAGACAGGGGAGGTGTCTGGAAACCCAGCCGCATTCCCCAATCTGGGGTTCAGGTCTCCCCGCCCCCCTGCAGGCCTCTTCACACTGTCCACACCTGGAGGGAAGTTGCTGGCTGGTGTTGCCGTCCTGTCTCCCCAGGTGATCCCCGAGAAGCCAGGATCCAGCGAGCTTCCAGGCTGGCTTTCTGCAAGGGGGCAGGGGTCGCTCTGGGGACAGCAACTCAGGCCCGTGGAGGCTTCCTTACCTGGGGAGCCTCCTCCTGCCCAAGTAGGCGTCATGCAGGCAGGTGAGATGATGCAGACTGAGCTCAGGGAAGAACGCCCTGGTGCTCTGGCTTCTTCGGCCCATCTAAGCTTGTGCTCTGCCAGAGGAGGTTCAGAAACAACCCTTTCTGTTCAGGTTCTGCCATTTGCACACCTTGCCATCGGCCCGTGACTTGAGATGCTTGACAGCCACTGTGGGCAGGAACTGACCTCCAGCCCGGAGGACAGTAAGCGAACTCTCGGCTTCTTGGATGAACATCATTGCAGAGACCACCCTCCCACCCCAAACACAGTGTGTGAAGAGCAAAAGTGCCAGGTGTACCCCACCTAAGCCCCCCCACGCCACCCCAGCGCCACCCCTGGCCTCCTGGGTTCTGGGCCACACCCAGAAGCTGGCCCAGAACGCTGGCCAGCTTTCCCTGAGCTGGAATCTGTAGCACAGTCACCTGTGAAGTTTTTTTTTTTTTTTAATTTACTTTTAATTTGCATTTTGTTTGGGAACTTTTGCCATGGGAACACACCCCCCTTTCCTTTCGGAAGCCGCATGGGGACACTAGAAGAAGATCACTTGCTATTCAGGAGGTATAATGGTGGAGCTATTTTTAAGCCTCCTTCCGTCATCCCCATGATTAGCCGCCTCTGGGGCCTCGGAACGGGACCGCTTAGGTTTGCTGCATCCAGAGAGTGACTTTGTGAAGCTGCATTTTTTAAAAAAAATTTTTTTTGATTAGGAAACATCAAAAATAGCTTCTCTCACTGGGTGCGCTCCCGGGAAGAGCCAGCTGTGCAGTGTCCAGCGGCAGCTGAGGACAGCGCTCACCCAGGGCAGCTTCCAGACATGGGGGAGGCTTTCCCGAAGAGGCCTTATTTACAGAAACACTCCCACCTTAAAGGCTGACAAACCTGAGTGATGGCGATGGTCTCATGCGCCCTTTGTGGCTGCAGGAGCAGCCCTTCTGAACTAGGAGCTCTCCGGGGTGCCGAGGCCCCGGCCAGGTTGGGAGGGTCATGCAGTGCTGGGCAGTGAGTTGGCGGTGTGCTCTGGGGGTGCTGGGGCACCCTTCGCCCATCTAGACAGCATCGATCTCATCCCGGCCATGGGCAGCATAAATAACCACAGAGAAGCAACAGAGCAAGACCACAGGGAAACCACATTTTCCAAAAAGATCTTCCAGACTTTGAAAATGGGAATTAGCCAGCATTTAGAGGTGAGAGGTCTTGTGCTTCGTTTTCCTTTGAGAAGATTGAAAAGCATTTTGTTTAGCTCTGGAGAGTTTTATTCGTGGGACGCAGCCAAACAGAGCTACTGTTCAATACACTAGGAAATCTACAGCCTGATCTTGGATGCAGTAGAGGTCTATAAGCACTGGTCTCGTGCCAAGCACTGGCCGGGTGAGTGTCCACGAGGGAGACGGAAGAGTGTCCTGTCCTCATAGATTTTCCTGAGTAGCAGGAGAGGTAGACCAGCAAGATAACAGCGGCAGAAGAGCGGTGGTGTGTAAAGCCAGGGAGAGGCTGTCCAAGGGGCAGATCGATATTGTTCGAAGGCAGGAAGGCATCTGGGAAGAAGGGGCATTTATGCAGAGAGTGAAAGATGAGTAAGAATTGGCCGGGGTGGGCAGGGAGGGAGATGTTCCTCCTGGCAGAAGGAGCAGTTCCTGGGGGGTGAGGGGAGCAGGGGGGGCGACTCCTTGCCCCATCCCCCCACCCCCCACCGCAGACAGCAGGTCTCTGCACGGGAACTGGAGCAGCTGGATGATCATCGAAAGTGAAAGTTCAGGGTACTCATCTATCCCAGATGCTCCAGAGTCTTCAGATGTAAAATGTTTTATTCACATTAGTACAAAACAGAGAAAGAGAACTTAAAAAAATAAACACAAGACCAGAAAAGCAAAAGGAAAAACCCTAGGATACAGAAAAGTCAAGAGTTTATGGTTCACAAAAGACTTTCAAAGACCAGAGATGCTGCTCTGGCATCCCCTCCGTGGCCGTCTGGGCTGAGGACAGCATGCCCTGCCCACCTCTCTGCCCCCCTTCGTGAGAGCCGGGGGTCCCCCCCAAGGCGCTTCTCCTGGCCAGGTGCAGAGTCTGTTCCTATCATGCAGGGTGCCCAGCTCCTGTGCTCTCTGGACCAGTCCGGAGGGCGCCTGCTCTACCCCTCCCTCTCTTCAAGGCTGCGATCAGAACAGATTATTTTCAGATCAGCAATTTCCTCGAGACAGAATTTCTTCCATCCAGGAGGTGGCTGGAAATTAGCTTCTGCTCACACTTGCCGGGACCCCGCTTGTTAGAACAGATACCTACAAACACTGCAGCTGGGGAGAGGGCTGTCCAGTGAACGGGCAGGAAAGGCCCTGTGGATTTGGGGATCCTATGGGGATACCCTCTTTGGAACTCATCTTTCATCCCAGCAGCTCAGGAAACAAACAAACAAACAAATGAAACAAAGGGAAAATGTCAAAAATAAAGAGATCGTGAACTGTAAGGAAAACAATCAGTACATTATCTTTGCTTCAAATCAAACTGAGGACTGAGCCCAGAGGGAGAATTTCCCTTTTAGTTTGGGGCATTTCCTTGGGATTCAGCCTCCACCGTGGCCCCTCCCCGCCCACGGGCCATCAACTAGAGCAAACTCCCCAAACTGTCTTCTGCATACCAAAGAGCTGTCATTTCCAAACTATGCCATTAACAAGTATTGTTTCAGTACCTGACATGGTCAGATCACCTAAGCAGGGTCATTTTGTTATGGAGGGTATATATATATATATATTGATCAAATAATTCAGACCAGTCCTGATCACAGATCCTCATCAAGAAAAGTGTTGCAAATAAAGATGAATTCAGCCCAGTTTCCCTAAGCAGAGAGTCCTCCTTTCCCGAATCTTGTCAAGTAGTCCTCCCCTCTAGCTTGAAGGTCTCAGCTGGTGTCCACATGGCTGGACCCCTGTTAGTGTTGAAACGTCCACTCTTAGGCAGCTCACCGGTGACATCTAAATTTCCGCCAGGCAGCCCTCAGCTGAGCAAGGGTGGGAAAGAGAGCAGAAGATAACATGCATGGAGAGTAAACTCCTGTGCTTGTCATTGATCGCTGCCCATTGCTCTCCATGTTTCCCATCCTGGTCAGTTTCCCCAAGGTGGGCTGGCGAGCCCAACACACTGCTTCAGCCCCCCTGTGAATCCTCAGAAAAGCTGGGCAAATTGACACTGGAATGGTTTCAACAGGTTGGTGTATATTTCTGAACAAGATGTACAATATTCTCAGGATGGGGGGTTAAAAATTACGTGTTCTATTTTCTGAGCTCTTCTAAGGAACAGTGTCAGGGGAGAGAAAAGGGGGTTTTGACCAGGGGATGTTCACTGGGGTTGTGTTTTCAGATTAAAATATTAAAGCCAAATATGTCAGGGCGCATGACGGTCTATTTGCTGAGATCAGTGAGCCAGAAGTGGTCAGCCTTACCGTAAATAACACGTTTCGTCAACAAAGCTGCTGTAGTTCCCACCTGTTGATGTGACAGATGACTACCGGGCTTAGAAGTTTATTCCGTGTCTGCCTATTTCCATGAATACGGTAGCCTGGGAAACTGACACAGTCAGAAGCATGTTTGTGATGGGGGGCCGGGGGAGGGGAAGAGTGAAAGCCATGGCCCAGCTCTCTGCATTGTCAGGCAATGGGGGTTTATTTCTAATTCATTTCATGTGAGTCTTTTGTTTCTTAGATCAAAGAGTTTAAGATGTATGATGAAAAAGGTCTTTCCTTTTTTTTAGGCTTCTAATTTTTATTTTCGAGAAGTTAAGGCTGTAGAATTGACACATTCCAATAACCCGACAGTTGCATGGAGGAGAGATGTCCCAAACCACGTGGCATGTCTCTGTAGGCACTGCCAGCAGATTTTGGCATTCATTGTTGGATTTCGTGCACACGTTGTATTTTCTTATTTTTTTCTTAATTTGCATGTCAAGAAAGTGGTTCCCTTTTTTTCTTTTCCTCGTTATTTCATTTTCTTCTCTGTGAAGACACTGTAAGTTTATTTTGATCTCATTTTCTTTCCGTTCGATTTATTTCCTTCTGTAGTGACATTTAGAAAGGTATTTTGGGTATCATTCTTTGAATTCTTCAGGGGTTACAGCTCACGGGTGACAGAAAAAAAATCTCGTTCACATTTGTCACTTACTTATTGCCCATTTTAGTACTCTTATAATTTCTCTAATTTGCATGTTACAGAACTGGAGCCAGGACAAGACATAGACATTAAAGCGAGAACGTTTCACGGGGTCGTTGACTGAAATAATAATCTGCATGTTGTTCTCCCTTCTCCCTCCTGCATGCAGGGATTTGGTTTCGTAACTTTCGAAAATAGTGCCGATGCGGACAGGGCGAGGGAGAAATTACACGGCACGGTGGTAGAGGGCCGTAAAATCGAGGTGCATGTTCAAAATATTTCCCTTTTCATCTTTTTTATAAATGTGTGCTTCACCCTCATCTGTTACTTCAGACGCTTCATCCTGTCTTGTGTATGTCCCTGCTCCCTTTTCATTGTTTATATATATATATTTATATATAAAAAGGAAAACTGGCCTTATTGTATTTTACTTTTACTTGTTACGTGACTCTTCTTACTGCTGAGAGGTGGATGGCAGAAGTGAGACGCAGGAAACATTAACCTGAAGGTCTTTCGTTTTGTTTTTTATTTTCCATTGTTTTCGATGCCATGGGCGCAGTAGGTTCCAAACAGCAGAGATAGTGTTGAGGAACAAAACAAAACAAAACAGAAGAGTTTCTTTTTTTTTCTTTATCTTTTTTTCTTTTTCTTTTTCTTTCCACTGCAGGGTTGATGAGAGATCCACAGTGGTGTGCAAATTAAACCAAATTGTGAAAGCGATCGCATTTGAAAGAACAAAAAAAAGAAAAAAAGAAAAAAAAAATGAGCGGTCTTTACCTTAAGCATCTCATTTTTTTTTTTTTTTTTTTTAGAAGACGGCATACGAGATGTCGAGCAGTGACTGGAGTTCAGACGTGTGCTCTTCCGATCTTCTTAGAACTTTACTAAAGATGAAACAATATTATGGTTTCTTCTTGGGCAGTCAACTATTTTTTTTTTTTTTTTTTTTTGGCTTAAGAAGCCAGCTTGGTCTGGAGTTCTCTTGTTCAGTGACTCACCAGACAGGATTTCCTGTTCACTCTCTGGCCCCTGTTTGCGCCTACTATCCGCTCAGATTCCAATCCGCCCCAGGTTTCTACCACTGGATCTCCCTCAACGTGGCCCCAGGGTCATATTTGTTAAAACTTTAAAAAAAAAACCAGTTAAAAATGCTTTAGTCTTTGGAGTAAGATGTTGCATATTTTGCCTTTCATTTCCCCCCTTCGACGATAACGCTTAGGCCCCTCACCAAACTCTCAGTAACCATGGTAACTGTATACAAACCTTGCTGGCGGTGGTGGTGAATGGTAAGTGGCAAAGTCCATCTGCCGTTTCCCGTATTTAGTGCTGATATATCTATATACATATATATATACCACGTGAATTTTTTTGACTTGTTGTATTAAGTTTTCTTGATGCTCTATTTTTTTGGATATTGGTACGCCTGTAATTGAGTGTACGTTCTAAGCTAGCCTGAGAGGCGCTGACTGTATTGAGATATGCCCCGTGCACATCTTACTCAGATTGTTAACTCCATATTGTGTTCGACAATGCACCCCTCTCCCCCTTTCGTTAGCTGTGACTTTAAAGCTTGAATGATTTTGTTAATTCTTGCGATGTCAAAGGTCTTGTTCCAAGTGTTGAATGCTAGATGTTGCTTTCCCGATGGTTCTTTACCCCAAGTGTTGCTCATGTGGTCCCTTGTCTGTCCCTTCCTTTGACATTCATGTTCCCTGTACTCCTCTCTTCTCCACTGCATGCCCCTTCATATGAACTTTATTTTACGTTTAAAAACTATTTATTGTTTCTGTGTTACCATGGAGTACACGCATGCTTTTAAATCTTCAATTATGCAGTTCCTTTTAATTTGCTTTTACTGTCTCCTTATTAAAAGTTTCGATGATATGACATTGCTTTATTGAAATGATTTGTAAGTTTAAATGGTGATGAAGTAAATGTAATTATAAAAATGTATGATTTCTGTTATGCACCTACTGCCTTTTATAAATTAAAATGCATTTATTTTTTTCTGTTCTTGTTGTTAATAAGTAATCACTGTCATAATGCATGCGACTAATGGAATGTCGGGCTCACCCTGGAATTGTGCTCACTTGAGTTTTCTATGTACGTAGGTAAATAATGCCACAGCACGCGTAATGACAAATAAAAAGACCGTCAACCCTTACACAAACGGTGAGTAGACCGGCAGGGAATCCTCTCTGCCTCTCAGTCCATTAAGTGATTTGATCGGGCATCTGTTCCCCTGAGCCACTGTCAGCCTGGCCACGGGGGCCCGCTGCTGACCGGCCACAAGGAGCCATCCGAGTCAATATGATCACTTTCACCACAAGAGGCACATTTCAGGCTAAGTGGGGTGCCCCTTTCCAGTCTTTCCAGAGTAACTCCCCGTTGTACCTGAGATACAGACTTCCTTTGAGCGTTTGTGGGTAGTTTCCTGCGTGGTGACGGTGGCCAGTGGAGGAGGACCGAGGCACGTTCCCTTCTCCCCACCACCTGGTCACCCTCCCTGAACCTCCCCAAAGCGGGACCACAGCTTGCCTCTGGCTGAGGTCTTCTCTGGCACCCCAAGACTTTGATGGTGGGAGTGAGGCAGGCAGGTTGGCCCTGAGAGCTCGCAGGGGGGCACTGAGCGGCTCCCGCAAGCTGCCCAGGGCGGAAGGGTGAGGTGGCCCCTCTCCACCCACCCAGGGGGTCGTTCAGGCTCTCCTAGAAACAATTCAAAATATATGCGAAGCGCTTAAAGATGTTTGAACATGTTGATTCTCTAACCCTCCTCAGGGTTGAGACAGAGGGGGGAAGCTGCTGCCAGGGTGGCATATGCTGGACTGGGCCAAAAACTAGAGAGAAAATAGCACAGTAATGGAAGGTCAGTGCTTTGTGGCCAGTCCTGCTCACAGATAAGCAGGATAAAGACTGACAGGTCACCTAGGGCGTGTTTGCAGCCACACTGAGGTAGTCATGTGTGCTCACGGCCCAATCACATTGGGAGAAGGGAAGATGTTTTTTTCTTTGTTTTATAAGTTTTAAAAAAGAATATAATTTTAGTACTGGCATCAGGAATGTATGGGATGTTCACAGTAGCATTTTAATGACACACAGTATGTGAAAATGCAGACTTCCTGAACAATCAGAGAGGGAAGGAGGAAGGAAGGAGGAAGGTTGGCTTAAGAAAAGGCCAATGTGTACTCCAAATAGCACAACTGCCAGCTGGCTTACTCCCCACTTAGAGGCAGTCACTAATTGAAATTATCTTTATGTTTTTACTTTTCTATTGTCATGCATATATATGTAGTATAAGTATATTGGCGGGATTCACAGCATTAGGTACCTGTTTTTATGTAAAAGGTATCATGTGCACGTTGTTTTTAATCAAATTTTATGAATCAGTATGCAGTTGTTTGGATAGTGATACAAACAGACCAAACTCACTCACTTTGGTGGTTACATAATATCCTTCAAATGGGTAGGTGGCATTATTCAGGTTATTTTTCTGTTATATACCATAGTCATAGCATTTGCTAGCTTTTTTTTTTTTTTTTTTTGGTGTCTTCTTTCTTGTGCCGAAGACTACCCATTTGACCAAGCCCATCTATTTTTATTCCAAGATGGGGTGCCATTAAACAGAAAGGCAATCCCAGTACAATAAGTCTAAGCAGAAAGCCCAAGAGAATGTTTCATTCTGCTGCTCCTTTTCCTAGTACCTGCAACCCAAGACACATCCTTAAATTGAATAGAAAATCCCCATCACAGGCTTTAAATGCCCAGTGCTGGAATGAGCAAATCTCTGGTCAATATGACATTTATACCACTTGGGTATAAATGTTCGTTTTCCAATTTGCCAGATGCCTGAAGACAAGAACCTGAAGATTCTACTTCCTCTAACCAGGAAGTAGAATTGTGCATGTGTGCACATGTGCCGTGTGTGTGTTTTCACATGCACGCATATGTGTTCATGTGTATTTGTGTGGGAAGATAATCAAGGAAAGCCAGATCTTTTTTCATCAGCCATATGTGTGCAGATTTGATTTAAAGGAGAGGTGCTGATCAGTGTCTTGCCAGGGCCTGAAAACTAGACCTGTGGGGTTTGGACACAACTCAGAATCCACACATGCAAAGCTACATCTCTGGAATGCAGACTGTGTCCAAGGTGTTAAGCATCTCGGTGCCCTGGGCTCACATGAAGCCTTACGAACAGTCCTCTTTGCTTAAAAGATGCAAAAGTTGAGACTAGGTGAAATGAAGTCATTGGTCAAGTCTTTTTGCAAAGGGGCTCAGGGGTGGTGTCTTTGTGAGGACAGGCACATCCCATGCTCCTGTCGCCGTACAGCCCTGCACTCCAAGAGTGGCCAGAGTCAACTAGCTAGCTGTGAAGTTGAAGGACACAACGAGATGTGAAGCTCCTTGTCTCCCTAGATGTTGGCATAGGTACCTCATGCCCCAGTCCAGGTAGCTATGGACGGGACTTAGTGAGGTGTGTTCCTTGCCTATATTCCTGCTTGAGATGTTGAGAGGCTTCTTCTGTCACAAGGACTGGGTATGGACCTGTGGGTGGAAGGACAGTCCCCATAGACCTGAATTGACATAAGACACAAATCTAAATCTGGAGGACATAAGATAATAGACTTCTCTAGAGGAGAAGAGATCATGGGAGACTTTTGGCTACAAAGACCAGTAGTAATTCTCCAAGTTTTTGTGCCCTGTCCTTGATTCTCAAGTAACACCACTGCAAATGCATGTTCCTGTAGATTGCATGGCACATTACTGATAATAGATGGGGATTTCTAAGATCCTTAATAAGAGTGACTATTTAAGAGAGGAGAGAATCAGAAAATGAAATGTGAGGTGGTTGATAGGGTGACTAATTTGACCAGAGCAATGAGAGCAAATACATATATCAACTCATCAGATTAGGCACCTTGAATATAAATAAATTTTAGTTGTTGATTATACCTCAATAACTCTTATAAAAAAACAAAAGGAGTCAAGACCAATACATTTATGTTGAAGTGAGAAAATTAAATGATCACTGAAATTTATTCATTAGTTACCTAATTCATCCTCGGAAGCTGTTGAGTTTTGCTTCAGCAAAATTACAAATTACTAGAGTCATCAAATTTCTAGTTAATCTTCAAATAATAAAATACAACTGCTGATGTCCACACTGCATTCATACAGTCCTTCAATCACATATCCAAGAAAAGTTTAGCAGCTGCCAAGTTTCCAGTGATGAATAGTAAGACTGGGTCCCGAATGTGAGGGTAAGCTTGGAGGGAAGACTCTCTAAGTGTGTTAATTATGTCATAGTGGGGTACAGATTCTAACTCTGGGGACATCTGAACTTGGGTTTAAGACTGTAAATGGCAGATGGAGGTGGAAAAGCCACACATCGGGACACGCCTCACAAAGATGATCTGGCAGTTTTTCCATTGCTCATTCTTCCCAAGGATACCTGCCCTCGGGGAGGAACTGGGATCTTTGGGAATTTGATATTTCTGTAAAACAAGTTCAATTTTCTCAGAGATTCCCTGCGTGTTGGAGAAGCATGGGTATTGGAAGTAGCTCTTGTTTTCTTAGCTATCTTGGGAAAGATAAAAATGAACACCAAGAACTTTGTATCAGCTCAGCTTCCCACTGTGTCTGCAACTGTGGGCAAGTTGTTTCATTCGGAAACAGAAACATACATTTTCTCAAGTGGGAACTCACAATGCAATAAAACCTACTGCACAGGCAATTTGTAATTATTATGGGAGAAAGTTGCCAGCACAGTGCCTGAGATACAGAGTATCTTAAAATTTTAATTACACAGTAATCTCAAGAGCAGGTAGATATCTTTCCTTTTTTTTTTTTTGCTCTAAATAGTAAGTTGAATTTCTTTTTTTTTTTTTTTTTTTGCTCTAAATAGTAAGTTGAATTTCCTGATTGACATATTAACTTAAGGATTAAATACTCAGATGCCAACAGTCTGGGCAGGTGAAGTAAATGAGCAAGTGAGAAGGTCTGGGAAACTCATAGTTTTTATGTTCTATCATTTTCATAGTGCATAAAGAAAAATATTTCTCTACTAGAAGGAAATAACAGTATGGGGTGATAATAAATGTTCGCTAACATGTAGACTCTAAGACAGGCAGACAATGGAGCGCAGTGGTGACTGTGGATAACTAGAAAGTTAAATGCAGGTGAGGGGGAAGGGGCTGGTCACCTCCAGTAAACTGATCCCTGAGGAAGTCTGAACTTAAAATTGACATTTCTATTGATGTTTCAAGAGAACCAGAGATTGTGTCTTGGGTGAAATCTAAAGGTTTCTGTGAACATATGGTGTGAAAAAAACATTGAGTGAGCAAACAAAAACACATTTCTGCATAGCATGCATCAACTCTGCATCGGGGCCTCGCCCGGTGCCATTTCAGCTTCAGGGCTATAGACGTCTTTCAAAAGCATGCTCCTGCAGTGACAGAGCCCCTGTCGTGCCATTAAGGGCACTTTGTTGAATGTGTTTCTTTGATACCCGACCCAGCAAAGCCCAGGAGAAGCCATGTGCACATTCTTTGTCTGAACATTCAGATTTGTCTTTTAACGCCCAGTACAATAGTAAACGCCGGGGATCTCGGTCAGTACTTTTTCTAAAGAAACCTGGGCAGTGACGTTTTAGAAGCTATCTGATTTGGGTGCAGCACCTCTTGGCCCAGCCACAGAGGGGTCTCTAAATGGCTCCTGCGTCTGGTGTCTGCTCTGTTGCCTTGCCTTGCCGTGTGGGGGCCCTGCGAGGCTGGGAGCTCAGGCTTTATCAGCTGTTCTCCTTTTGTTATAAGCCTCATTGTTCAGCTTAATGTCCTTGATCAAAATCTCTGAATTTGCAAGGCCTGGGGACGTACACAGTCTGCCTGAGAAACTAAAAGTGGGATCATTTTGGCTTCTTCCTGACAGTGCTGACTTAGACCCACGTCTCCAGCAACTAGTCCCGGGGGTCTCTTCCAGGTACTAGGAGGAGTGGCAGAGACGACCAGGCCATTTGCATGTGATTTGCATGCATTTACATAAGCCTACATGAGCTCTGTAAGTCTGAGTGTAGGTGATTTGCAAGGGCTGGATTCTTACTGCCTTCCCCTCAGAGATAGTCACCTTAACAGCGCCCCTCTTCATTAGATGCTCATCCAAAAGCAGGTCACTGGAGGTTGGAAGTTAGCCCAAAGGGAATAAGCCTGTTAGAAAAGTGCTCTGTAGCATTTTAGTTACTTTAGAGCAGAACTAAATAAACTTTTACAGTGCACTGACTGTTTACCAAGTGCAATTTTTGATTCTGGGGATTCACCTTGGACAGCAATCCCACTCACCCTGCTGTTCATTTTAATGGCTGTGCATCATTGTAAAAACAATTAAGAACAAACAGAAAGCAAATCCCATAAACCCAGTAGTGTCATCAGCTACACAGAAAACCAAGCTGGGACTGAACTAGAGGGTCATCCTTGGAGGAAAGAAACATACCCTGAGCAGTCCTGGGGGACACTGGGGTTCTCGTTGACACTAGGTCCACTTTGCCCAGCCCTGGGGAGAATTCTCCAGGCAGAGGGAGCAGTGGGTACAACGGAGGGTCCTTCAAGGCGATCTAGAATGATCTCGGATAGTTCCCTAAAGAAAAAACACACCATGTCGCTAGCTTGAGAGCAGGATGTGGTGGTACACAGTAAATAGACAACAGCTAGGTTGTTCGAGCTCGATGCCAAGGATTTGTGATCAAAAGGGTCAGAAGGAAGCTACTGAAAAACTGGGAAGCAGAGAGATATACATGATTTACCTGCTATAAATGGTTTTGACGACTGTTCCAGGATGGAGCGAGGAGGGCAGACAGGAAGGAAGCAGGAGCAGGAGGCGGTGAGCGTTAGGGCATGTCGTGTTGTCCTGTCTGAAAAGGACTTGTGTGCTGGCCAGGATCGGGGCAGGACAGGGAAGTGGACAGACTGAAACCTCTGTTCGAAGTCTAAGCAGTAGTTTTGTCCTAAGGAAGTTTTCATGAGCTCTGAGAGGTAGAAGCAAGGAATGAAATGAATGCTCAAGAATTTTGTTTTAAGGAGCTAATGGAGAGGGGTGCTACATGCTGAATGAAGGTGGGAGGCCTGCTGAGGGAGGAGCCTTGGGGATAGGGGCACTTGCATTTCCCTACAGTGAGAAGGGTGGGAAAGATGTGTGCTTGTCCGTATGTGCATTTGTGAGGTCTGGCCTCCCTCCCTCCCTTCCTCCCTTCCTCCCCCTTAATTTCCTCCCACTCTCCCTTCCCCTTTACTTCCTTCCTCCCTCTCCCCCTTCCTCCCTCCCTCTCCCCCTTCCTCCCTCCCTCTCCCCCTTCCTCCCTCCCTCTCCCCCTTCCTCCCTCCCTCTCTCCATTCCTTCCTCCCTCCCTCCCAGCCCTGTTTAAGAGAGGGGGCTCATGATGGGGAAAGAGCCATCCTGCCGGTGTTTCCATGATGACCTCAGCAGCCTCATTGCATTTGACTCATGCAGATTCTAGTGGTCTCTTGTAGAGGAGACCTGATCAGCTGTCTCTCAGTAATACCTGAAGACAGAGGAACAGGCTGCTATGGAGGAAAAGTGTCATTAATGCCACTGCGTTTGTAGTGAATGGAAGTACCCCTTGAGTAGACTTGGTAGACAGTTGGACAATTTGTAGATAGATGGATGGGAGGAAGGAGTGAGCGAGGGGAGGGGGTAAGGAAAGAAAGAAGGGAGGGAGGACGTCTATACCTTACAAGCTTACCTACAAATAGGCATATCTTTATTCATTCAAGGAAATGAGTAAAATAAAGGCAGGTAAGAGAAGTGATTTCTAGGCAGTCTTATTTATACATCTCTGAGAAATCCACTTCTATGAAAAAAACGAAAGCATAACTTGCAATCTTCTAGAGTCACATGAAAATGAAGCCCCATTCAGAGGTTCTAGGCATATAGTCAAAAGAAGTATCTAAGATATTAAATTTGTTAGGCTCCTTACAGATTTCCTTTACAAACTCTAGCTGTCTATGAAAGACTAGAAAGAAAATGCTAAACACATCCAGATAACCGTGAAGCTTTCTTTTCTACTAGCTTGGGCTATTTTCTCTGAAACTTGGAATGTGAACATTCATTCCCATAAGCTGAGGAACTGGATATTGTCTTTTTTGGGAATCCATGGAAGATCACTTACTTGGTCAATTTTTCATATTCATCATACATACTCTGAAATGGCCAGGGTAATTCCCATTTTTATGTTGCTATACAAATCCCTATAATATGGAACATGGTAAATAATAAAAGGGGATGGGTGTCAGTGTGGGATTTCAGAAGCTTGTGAAGCAATGGGTCACAGAATTTCATGTCTCTTTTTTGCAGATCTAGAATAGACTAGGGAATTGTCCATTAATGAACTTCCCAGATAGACTTTCCCTATCTGCAGGTCAACCTGGAGCTGTAAAGCAGCTGGCTTATTTAAGTTGGAACTGAGAGTCCTTAGGCACAAAACATCCTTAGAAAGTTCTAGAACATTTTTTGGTCCATTAAGGGACCATTTAATGAAATATTGAGCTTTTGTCTTCCTTAGTGGGTCAGGAGATGGTGATCACCTCTCACGTCAGATTAATGGGGTTTCACAGCTTTCCCTGTGGGGTGGGGCTCAGAATACCTTCCCTCACACCCCACATTTCACCATTGTCTTTTACCAAAAGTGTTTATTAAAGGACATCTGGTGTTTAAGCTGACAAATTTTTCCACAGAAGACAGCAGGCAACACTGAATGTTTTTATAAAGATCATTAGAAACTGGAAGTGGTCACCCCAAGCCTAAAATGTGATCTTTCTTTGAAGGTTGTTTCCTAAATAACCCCACCCAGTGGGGCTGTATTGGGTGCTGTGCTTGGTCAGCAAATATCCTCAGATGTTCTTTACACGAATGGAAATCACTAAAGGAAAGGAGCAGGATCCAGAAAATTCTCCATCCACAACATTTGGAAAATTACAGGATCTTGTCCATGTCACGTACAAATTATTTGAAAGTTACCTTAGATATCATGCATTGATTAAGGATAATCATGATCTCTGAATAAACTAGAGTGTATCCACATTTATCTCCTGTGGATTAATGTCCTTTCCTTTGGGACTTAAAAAACACTTTGGAATCCTGTAGTCTCTGGATCACAATTAGGAATGACATTAGTCAGACTATTTTGCTGTAAAATATTTATGTGAACTTGCAGATTTTTGTAAACTTAATGCAAAGGGACATGTGATCTATTTACCTAGCAGTTCTACAAGAAAGAATATTATAGTAGCTCTGGTACTGTGGCTGTGGGAGAAAATGAATTGTGATGTCATCTTCAAAGGTTCCCCTGGAGTTGGTCGGTGGCCTCCACGCTATTTGTACTGGCAGAAAGTGAAAAAAGAAAAAATCCATAGAGCTGTTTTTCTCTGTATAATTTTCAGATAATTATTTTAATACACACCCAACTACATATCCTCTAAATTTAGAGAAGAAAAAAATATATCCATCCACTTAGTTGCAGTTTATTTGCGATGATGAAATTTGTTGAATCAAATGTGATAATGAAGTTTTTGTATATTTGTTTTAAGGCTGGAAATTGAATCCAGTTGTGGGTGCGGTCTACAGTCCCGAATTCTATGCAGGTAAAGAGCTTCACTTTGCATGACGTGTCCTTGGTCTTTCTCAATGTGCTTTGCCTGCAATAAAATGAGTTCATTCGATAATCCGAACCAAGTGAATCCCTCTCCTAACAATTTCTGAATGATTTTTTTTTTCTGGCAAAACCAGAAGTGTTTAAGATATAAAAGGAGGAGTCATGTGAGTTACCTTGTGGATGAAGAATGAAGCCACAGCTTTGATGACACTCAAGTTGATTTTGCCTTAAAAAAAAAGCATTGAGACGTTGTTCCAGAGCATATTGAGCAAACATAGAGCTGTTCACGCCCATTTTATTTCAATATGCCTGAATGTTTCTTTTAGCCATACATTTCCATTCGGGGTTGCATTTATTCCCCGGCAAAGCAGCGAGTTGACTTACTTATTCCAGCACTGTGGATGTGAGTTGGAATTGCCAAGAGAAGAACTATTGAGAAAAACCAGGAATACAAGCTAAGCGGTCTTTCTTCCTCTGCGGATTGGTTTCCCTTAGCAATTCCATTTCTCTCTGCTTTGCCTTCAAGGCTGTGTGTCCCTCCTCACCTCTCCCCTGTCTAGCCACCAACTACGCCCCAGTTGGGAAATCCACCCTGGTAGAGAACACGACCTACACACTTGGGGCGCGTGACCCAGGAGCACCGTGGGTAGATGTCTTTCTGACTTGCTGGTCTTGCCTGGCCACTGCTGATGACTGTCGTCTTGCTCTTAAACAAGGCTGCACTTAACACGTTAGAGCGTAGTCAGTCTGCCTCATGGGTATTGCAGTGTTTCTCCGATGTGGCCCTTGATTCTCAATAAGGAGAATACATGGCCAGTGGTCTAGATCCCTCACTTAGTGCTCTCTTGACGGTAAGTCCGCACTTTGTCTCTAATGGCGTGCCTTAGTTCTGTCCCTTCCCTGTACTAAGCATTCGCACTAGTGGGTGACAAAGGAACATGGGAAATGAAGCTTTTCAAGCACAGTATTGACTTGATTAAAAATATCCGGTAACTCTGGGAAAGGTCCAGGTGATAGCTGAGCTCTGGGTTTTAGGTAGGCATTGTTGGCAGCTGCCCTTCACGTGTGAGTTTTAGCACCAGCCTGGCTAATATTAAGACTCCGTGACTGTGAGGTGTTTGCAGTGGCTATACTGAGGGAGGAGAGACTGAGCTATAAAGCCCCCCCCCATAGTTCTGTGTGAACCCACCTGCTGAGAGGACACTCGGGGGACAGAGGAACAGGGACCCTGCACTCAGACAGCCGGGTGCCAGGTGCCAGACCTGGCTTCTCTCCTTGCCAGCTGTGTGACTCTAAGCCAGCTACTTAACCTCTCTGTGCCTCAGTGTCTTCACCTGTGAAATGGGAGATGATGGCAGGAACAGTCTTGCAAGTGTTTGAAAAGTGTCAAATAGATTGGTCTGTGAAGACGGTTTGGTGTATAGTCAGCCCCATGTAAATGCTGGGTCAACTAATAAATAGGTAGGTCAGTGCTCCACCTCTCTGCCACAAAGGAAAAGTTAACCAAGAACTGATTCTGCTGAATTCCGTGTGTGCCAGTAAACTTAAAAGACTCTATACCTAGTTATGAGAACGTGCATCCTTCCACCTCAGCATGTGTGCTTACAATGTCTGGCATAAAGGGCAGGGCTATCTACTGCAGGGGGCACATGGATTGTCAGGGACACCCCCACACAATTGCAGAGACTTGAAATTACACGAAGGAGCAAGACAAGCAGAGCTTCCATGTGTGTAGCTTCTGTCCAGGGACATGGAGGGGCCCCAGACAAGAGAGGCAGGCATCTGCACGTCCGTGTGTGCACCTGTGTGCACCTTGTCTGTGCTCTGTGCTCTGTGTTCTGTGCCCAGAGCACAGAAGCAGGGCTGGGAACCCGGCCAAAGGATGAGGAGTGCAGGCGTAGAGGTGTGAGCTGTGTTTGAGAGAGGAAAGGACATCTCTCTTGTGTGGCACAGGGTACCGGCTGCCACCTGAGTTCAAACAATCAGAAAACGCCAAGTAACTCCTGCACTTGTGATTTCAAACCAGTGTGTGTCCCTGGGGTGTTTTAAAGGACATTAAGACAGAAGAAACAATTGAGACTGACTTGCACATAAAGAATGAATTTATGAGCCAGGCATCAGCTACAAAAGTTAGATCATTGGATTAGAGGAAAAGAATAAGTCATACTAAGGGTTAGTAGTCACCGATTACTTTCTGTGGCCAGCCACTGTTCTAAGCATTTTACTTAGGTTAATGTTTTTCACTCCTTAAGGCAACTTTCAAAATAAGAAAACTGCCAGGGCAAAGTTTTTCATCTTGGGTATAAGATTTCACAGAAAGGAAGAAGTGGCTAGAATTTGGAACCAAGAGCTTGTATTCACTACAACCAGGTTACACTGTTCTTCGTTGCTTATAAAGATTTAAAATCATATTTTTTATTAGTGGTGTCCTGTGATAGTAGGTCATGCTAAAGTTCTATATTCAAACCTGTCAGAAACTAAAAGTAAACTAACTACCCTCCTTCATCATCACCACCACCATCACCTCCAACACTACCATCACTGTCACCACCACCAACACCAATATCACTACCACTCTCACCATCACTACCACCACCATCATCACCTCTACCACCCACCTTCATCATCACTGTCACCATCACCTCCACCACTACCACCAACACCAACATCATTACCACTCTCACCATCATTGCTACCACCATCACCATCATCTCTACCACCCACCTTCATCATCACCTCCACCACTGTCACCAACACCAACATCACTACCACTATCACTATCACTACTACCACCATCACCATCCCCAACACCACCCCTATCATCATCACCACCATCCCCATTACTACCACCACCACTTCCTCCATCATTTTAAATTCCACAAAGGAGTGTGGAACTTCCACCATCACTACCACCAGCACCGCCACCATCCCCATCATCATCACCACCACCATCATCACAACTACCATCTCCACCATAACTGCCTTATTTAAAAATGTTAACCGGTTGTGTCAGTGGAAGCTTTAAGGAGTCTGGAAAACCACGTCATTATTTCTCTAACCTGCTCCAAGAAACTTTAAAAAAAAAAAAAAAACAAAACAGGGCATGGGGGCATGCCACTTGAGAAATCTGAATATTTGTGGTTGATGTCACTAATAACTGAGCTCTCCTGAAAAATCAGGTACTTTCTGGGTTTTGCCTATTTATCTGTACATGTGGGAAGATGGAGTTCATGATGTTCAGAAATGAGAGAAAATGTTGCTCCACATCAGCTTTCCAGAACAATTCCTTTGCAATTCTTGAAGACCCACACACTGAGAACCCAGCTAGCTTCAGTCTAAAGTTGCATCCACTTGTATCTCTGAAGTGGGTAGATGCAAAGATAGAGATGCAGGAGGTATTTATTTCCATATCCACTTAAATACCCATGACTAAGAACTTAGAGAGCATTTAAAATGTCCCCAACTATAAAAATAGGCTGGATATTTCTTGCAATTCTGAACATGCCTCAAAACTGAGATGAAGACCTGGTCATCGATTCGCTTTGGGTAGTTAGCGGGTCAGCCTGCATCTGCCTGAGACAGAAAGCCAGAATTATCGGCCACCTCGCTCTATAAAATTGTGCATTAATGACAAATATCATAATATTCTCATGGAATAATTATTGATCTCCCTGCAGCTTATGCAGAGTTAATAACCCAGCCTCCAATTGTCTCTCAGAATGGAGCATGAAAAGTCCACATATTTTGTAAATTAAAATCAATATTTCCAATCTCTCCTAAAGGTAATTTTCCTAATTTAGTGGACTTTTCCCTAACATTTATTTTCTCTTTTAATTATAAAATGGCAGGTTATTGATTTTCGTATGTAACCTCATGACACCCTGAGTGCATTTATATTGCTAACGCAGGTGGGGGTGGGGAGAGCGGTGGCCCCTTTTAATAAGGATCTTTAATTACTAGCTGAACAGTATTAATTTGCTTTGATAAATTATGACATGCACTCTCCCTCGCTACAATCCAGGGGAAGCCTTTAGAAGCTGCACAAAGGCCTTTCATGTTGGGTGGGTTTCTGCACACACAGCCATCAGTCCTGTAAGAACTCTGGGCAAGTCTGTGCAATCCCAGCCTCTGAGGCAGGTGCATATCCGTCAGCCTCTCCCATGAGTCTACACTAGTCTTCTCCAGAGAACAGCACAGGTTATTTTCCCTAAGTTTGGTCACCTTCATACTCCTGGAGGCTTAGTTTCAAGAAAATGATCGTAACTCAATTAAAAAACAAAAGTGCTAGGATATCTCAAGGTCTTGAGCCATGTCTATGCCCCACTTTAGAGTTGAAATAAAACTTTAACGCACTAAATAGCAGTAGAATTTCTGCATCTGTCCACAGTCATGCGCCTCAAGTGGTTAGTGTGACTGGGAACTGTGCCTCCACAAGCCGCAGTGAGACCTTGATGGCATTTCTGGCTCCCCATCATGATGAGATGCTCCCTTTACCTCCTAATAAAAAGATTAAAAAGTGATGTCTTTTAGAGATAATATCATCTCCCACCAATGAAACCATTGATTGAAAGCCCCTTTAATTTTCATAAATAAGGAAAACAGAGTAGAAATAAATAACAGAAGGTTCTACAAAGTTGTCAGCAGGCTATTGACAAATGGCAAATGCATCTGTTTCGCAATTGTGGTAACACGGCCGCTGAGCCCACCCACGCTGTAGATCATATCCGCCAACTCATTTCTGTGATTAAATATTCCATCAGTGAGGCTGTGAGGTGGCAGGGCTTAACAAGATTCATAAGATGCACCACTTGAACACACATAACTCACTTCCATGGATGGAGAACACCCCGCCTGCAAAAGAAAATTGGAATTGAGCTAAATTACTCCATAGGTCTCGATCAATAGGGACAGGAAAAGCTCGCCCTGTGCAATGCAAATCTAAGCTACCATTAGGTTCTGATGACAAGAAGCACAATTAAAGTCAAAAAG